GAAAAAAAAAGGTTAAATTTTATCCCTCTATTTCTCACTCTGGTTTAAATTTTACCCTTAGATTGGATTTGCGTCAAGGGTTGACAACAAAAACTAGATTACTTCATAACAACCAGAGTAAAGTTCAATGGAAGGCAAAGTTGCTCAATTTCAAATAACACAAGGAAATTTTAACTATTTATGCATTGTGAACTTATTGATCATAAAATCATGAATTCACCTTTATTCCGAACAACAACACATTTGTATTAAAAGGCTAAACTAAGAGGGGGAAAGGGGGTTGTTTTCAAATACCCCAACAACAACAATGACAAAAGCTATGATCTAATAGACAAAAACAAGATTTCATTAAAATTTTAAAAATATAGAAGACAAGAAAGAGCAGAGACTTCACTTGTTGTCTCAAATTTATATGGTCTAAGATTCCATTTCTCTCAACATTATTCACCTAATTTAATTGCATGATTCCGACAGCCAGATCAATGTCGCATTTCGAGGTACTATTATTTTTTTTCTTATTAAAAAAATATTATTGAAAATTATAAAATAAAATAAAAAGTGGTCCAAAATTCATAACTTTTTGTAATAATAATAAACCAATTGAGTCACACATGAATTTTTCTAGAAAAAAAAAGGTATAATATGATTTGTAGAATAAATGGACCACTCTCAACTATCAAAATCCGACCTAATAAGTTAGTCTTTTAGGTTGGGCTCTCTTATTCAACCTATAACAAATATAGTAACATAGGTTGGTCCACCGCGACCTAAAGTTGTGGATTATATTCAAGAGGAAAGTGAGTCGTGAACAATGAAGTTGACTATGAAGCAAGACAAGTAGAATAGGCCAATTGAGTCTTGCATGGATTTTATCGTTAATTGGTTGGAGGTTTATAGATTGAACGGGTTCTGATCCTACTTAATAAGTTAGTTTTTGGATTGTGACACTTTGATTTAGTCTTTTAAGTTAGACTCTCCTATTCGACCTATTTATCCAATGTGACTTAAAGACTTGAGTTATGGCCCATTTGAGCTAGAGTGTCAAGAGTGGTAACTTAGAATCAAAAGGTAAGTCAATCGTGAATTACAAGGTCATTGATTCTGGAAAAAGTTAACTATAATGAATCAACTGAGTCTACATGTATCTATCCAAAATTTATGGTGAGAGGTTTATAGATTGAAAGCTCTCCTACTTAATAAGCTAGTTGATTGGCTCATGTTCAGTTTTTTTGATTTGTTGATCAGTTGCAATTTGAAATTGTGGGCTATCTCGAGTGCAGGGTGTAAAGAAAAATTTCCTAGATGATCTAAGAAAGGTCAATCATGAATAATAGCAAGGTTCTTTCGCCCTCCAATAGGAGAATTGCACTAAACCAACATAGTCTCACATGAATTTCACAAAGAGTTGGTAAGAGGTTTATAGATTGAATGAACTCTCTTACTTAGTAATCTAGTTTTTTAATTGTCTCTTGTGTTCAGCTTTTAATGTTTGTTGATCAGTCACGACTTGAAGTTGTAGACTATTCTTGATGCCAGAATGAAAAGAAAAATATCCTAGACGATTTAAGAGAAAGTCAATTGTGAATAATAATGAGGTTGTTCATCCCAAGCAACAGATTTGCACTGAACCAACAGAGTCTCACAAGGAGTTGATAAGAGGTTTAGAGATTGAGCGAGTTCTCCTACTTAATAAGCTAGTGTTTTTATTGGCTCGTGTGTTCAGTTTTTTTGATTTGTTGATCACTCACGACTTGAAGTTGTGGACTATCTCAAGCGAATAGTGTAAACAAAAATACCTTAGACGATCTAACATAAATTCAAATATGAATAATAACGAATTTGTTCGCCCCAAGTACAAAAATCGCACTGAACTAACAGAGTCTCACATGAATTTTACAAAGAGTTGGTAACAGATTTATAAATTGAATGCCCTCTCCTACCTAACAAGCTAATTGTCTAGTCTACAACTTTATGTGAGTGTTAACATCCTATGTTGTGTTAATAGACACCATATAAACATTAAGATTGGTATTGGTGCCCTACTTGTATCCTATCAATGTCCTATAATAAAAGTGTGTTTAGTTAGTGTTGATATATAAAGGGGACTTGCTTTGGACAAAAAGTTATTTTTGGACCACAAAGACTAGAAATAGGAGAAAATCTAAAAATTATTGGTCCCTCTTTTCTTATATCTTGTTTTTTTTTTCAATTAGGTATTTACATTTCCTGTTTTTTACATTGTAGTTGACTCTATTTTCATTTTTTTTAAAATAGTATTAAAGAAAAAGGGATCAATTTAACTTCACTATATATATACATATAAATGTATAAGATCAACTTACTGAAGGAAAATCTAAAAAGAACTATGTTTTGTCTTTTTATTAAAAAAAAAACTGATCCTAAAAGATGCTGAAGCACAATACAAAGATTCCAAATCAAGATGGTTATTAGGTGTGCATTTAGACATACTTATTGTGAAATTTGAAGGAAAAAAAAGAAAAAGTAGTATTTGGAAAAATATTGAAAATGACATTCAGAACTTAGTGTTTGGACATGAATACAAATTGAAGTTGTTTTTAAAATTTTGTGAATGATTTAAAATGAAAATTATGAAAACAACTTTTCAGAGTTTTTTGACTTCCAAAAAAAATCATTAGTACTTTAAGAATGGATTCAACTTTTAAGGTTCTCATGGTGCTAGAAATTTCAGTAAGGATCTTCAAAGAAATATGAAAATATCACACTTATATATTAACCTATATCAACGGAATTCTATTATGAAAATACTACATGTACAATGACATTTTTCGATGAAAAGGATTTAATTGAACCCCCTTTGTCAAAGCTAGCTGCGATCCTACGAAATTCTATTAGTAATATGTTTCCTCTTTAATTTGCTCCCCTTCCAATAGTGTCCTGGAAAAGCTTAGTATTTATGAAAGACATAGTGCCTAGACATCAATTCTTATGGTGGGTTGCGCTATGTTGTTTGGACTATTCGAAAAATATCAATAGATGTGTATCTGACTCTTTGAAAATAATACTATGAGTACTACTCATAAATTCAACGTAGCTTGTGAGGGTCTTTATTAACCCGGATATGTGAAAGAAGGAACATTAGCTGGTTAATATAGGAAAAACTACATGATCAGATATATATACTATTATTATCTATACTTTCAAAATATTACGTATCTTATCACTAATTAAGAATTTTCTATCATATATGGAGGAAGATACACTTAGATACATGAATTTTTGCTACCAGATACATGGAAATGACACTGGACACATGTATTTGTATGTATTTGATGTGATTCATATGTATATGAGATACAAGATACATAGGAGAGTGGAGAACGAGATGGGAGAGAGGTGAGAGAGATAGGGAGGGAGGCGAACGTGATTTATTACGTATCCCAGATACATGTGAATCCACATGGATACAATGTATCTAGAACAAATTACACTTAATTTTGATCCCATGTGTCCCGAGATACATGTATTTGGACGCATCAAAATCTGATAAAATTCATAATATTACAAATTAGAGTGTATCTAAATAATTAACTCCTAAATATTACAAATTAGAGTGTATATATATGATGAAGTGCAATGGGCCTCAAAGTAGCATCTTGGGCTTCTTATTTACAACTGTTGTCATTCAAATTTGGGCTGAGAGGAATGCATGCAGGCTCATATGGTAAGACAAAGGAATTGTAATTGAAACCATTAGATAGCTTGAATATAGATTTTAAAATACGAGACTGATATTATTTGAATCGAGGGTTTATCGAAAATACTCTCTAATTACAAAATAAAGATAAAATCTATGTATACTTACTTCAAACCCTACTTTCCGAAACTACATTGTATATATTATTAGCGTACGTTATTATTATACCACATTGACATGTAGATGAAACTTTATTTTTATTTATTAATAGTAATAAAACAAGCTTAAAGAAGGGAGTAGATAAAGTGTGTTGAGTTGATGGCTAAAAACATTGCTTTAGAGTTTAGCCTAAACTATATATCACATTTTATGAGTCTTTGTACTTCAATCATATCCTATGTTTTTTATCCTCTTGAACTACAACTTCAAGCGTTAAAATCTCTCCAATGCATTGGTGTTTGTATTCCACTATTCTAAAAATACTTAAAAGATTTATAAAATAACATAAAACGCGTCATTTAAGTAAGTTAATACATAAAAAATCCTAAAATTATCACTATTTTGTATTAATTCCAATAGAGTTTTTTTAACTTGACTAAAAATATAATTATTGTTACATGTAGTGTCACAAGACGCATTGAGCATAAGCCCTTTGAGCATTTCTAACCTTCAAAATTTAAAATTCAAGAATAACATACACAAAGTTTAAATCTAAACTTTCAAAATAGTGACAATTTACGAAGAAGGTTCATACTAATTAAGTTTAAAATGTTCGTTTAGAAAAGGACTTAAAAGAATAACTCAGTGCACAAAATATCTTGTATTTACGCAAAATTTGAGGAAGGACAACATAGAGGGTTTATTCGGATTCAAATTTATTGATTGCTTTCACATATCACGATTTATTCCAACCGCAACAATTGGAGACAAACCCAAAACTGAGTTAAAAACAAAATTGTGGATTTGTCTCCAATTGTTGCGATTTTAATGTCTATGTCGTCCGAAGCAACACGTCAGAACAATTCTAAGGCATGTCGTCTCCAAAACACGAGTCTATGACAATCACTGGCCTAAACCTAGGCTAAGGCCAATTACAAGCTACCAAAGATCACAAATAACTACGTACGATCACCACTAGGTAAGACATGATCACAACATAAGAATAAGCATGCCAGCACTCTCGAAAAACACCTATGACATGATTTCTAATAAAGACTCAAATTTATTGTTTACTTTCACGTATCAAATCATTACACTTTAAAAAATTTTATTGATTGCTTTCACGTTTCGAACCGTGATTCATACTATACCAAAGGGAAAAAAAGAAGGAATTAGTCTTTATACGTTGCCTCTCCCTCTAAAAATTTAATTTGCAATGGCGACCCTAATGTATCACATGTTGTCATCGTCTTCACTGTTATCTCTGGGATTCTACCACCTCATCTGCACCACCCGGAACCGCCTCAAATCCGCCGGAGACTACGTCGCCAAACCCTACCACCCTCTCTCCTTCATATCTCAGCCGCATCTCCGCCGTCTACCTCTTTATCTCCTCCTTCTCTGCCTCCTCATTTCTCTGATCCATCAATCGCTCGTCTCTTTAGATGCCGATCCTCTCCTCAAAGGTCATACTCCGGTGCACCGTTTCACCTCACTTCAAGCCGCCGCCGTTGTTTTCTCGTTTCTAATACTCGTTGTTTTTCTCCTTATCTCCGAGTCAACTTCTCTTCTCCCTCTTCCTCCCGATCTGTTCTTCGCTTTAGCTGCTGCACTTTTCTACCTACAGTATTCGGTATCCGATTCTTCTGCTTCCGTTCAAACCTCCGATCTCCAGGCTAAATGTGATTCCGTTTCAGCTCGCATTTCTGCGCTCTCCGCGTTACTTTGTCTCGTGATTGCTGTTCAACCTAAGCTTTTCCTAGCTGATGTTGCTTTAGCTGCTTCTATCTGTCTCCAGGGACTATGGGTTCTACAGACGGGACTTTCGCTTTACGTTGATGCGTTCATACCTGAGGGTTGTCATAAGTTGTTGGATGTTGTTACTGGGGTAGAAGGTTCAACCAAATGCGATTTGGAGGACTCTAAGCTCAGGGCTATTGCTATACTTGATTTGGCTTTTGTCGTTCACGTGATGTTTGTCTTGCTCATTGTTACAGTCACCTATGCTGCCGTTGCTAAAACTATTGGTATCAGGAGATTTGGTTCTTATGAGGCTCTGCCCAACGCTGACTCGAGTCATATACAAATGAAGGCTATGACGGGAACTCAAGCTTGATTATCGTTGCATTAGGTATCATTCTCCCCTTAACTACTCAATGAAGGACATGTCAAGCTCTTAAGCAGAAGAATTGAAATGGTGAAATGTAAAGAGATGCATTCTTAGTATATAATGTCTTGTAAACGCAATATATCGACCAAATTAATTGTCTACTTTCTGTTTTGTCCTCTGAGATTGTTGTGCAAGTATTGTTACTGTTCATTCACTTGGTACATGCATTATTAATCTCTGTGTTATCAGTGCGGACAGAAGCTCTTGCACTTGGCAGAAAATGAGTCTAAGAGCAAAGGAATTAAGCACATTGCTCGATGTGATGACACAACATACTAATAATATAACGAGAAATGAAAGAAAACAATCACCTGTCTAATCAAAAATATCAAAAGAAGCTGGGTGGGTGTTAACATTAGTTGGTTTGTGCTTTAGAATATAGTACCTAAATCACCTCCAGAACTGGAGGTGATAGTATTGTGCCCCAATAATAACCAAGGCATACTCAAAACCAATAGCAGAGATCAATAAGGAGGAAAGGAAGTCTCTGTAGAAGTTCGCTTCCTCATATTTTGTTGTGCGAGTGTTTGTTACTGTTCATTCTCTGAGTAAGTGCATTATCAAATCCCCTAGGCTAGAGAGCTTCCTAGATTTGTATAATAAGCTCTACCGTCATGACGTCACATACTTGGTTCTCATTTGCTACTATTGTGCTCCCAGGACCCAGGCTGAAATAGACCTATGATTGTTTTTTATGTGATTTATAAAAAAATTGGATAGCATTAACTAATTTGCTTAAGCCTGAAGTCCGTGATTTTGACCATTGTTTCTGCTTTGAAAACGCCTTGGTCTGACCTGGATTATCCAAGACGGTGTCATTCTTACTCAGGAATTATTAAAAGCATTGGAGCCACTAGTGATTATTCTTATTTATCCGTTGTTTCTTTCGGAATTGATACTTGCAGAGCGGCAAGCCCTCTGATAGAATTAACTAGGACTTCTTATAGCGTCCTTCTCTATACAGGCTCCTCTCCTGTACCATTCTGGCTTATCATGTATCATAACTTCATCTCCATCTATTCTTTTAAATGATTCACCTGTTGAACTCATTTATACTTACTGTGGTCTTTGAAAAGGGATCCTCTATCCCATGCTTGTTCATTCTTTGTTGAGATGCCCTTTCTAGTTTCTAGGGTCCATATTTAAGTACTATATAAAGTATGTATAAGAGGGACCTTATCTTGGTTGAAGTATCCGAAGAATATAAACTTGCTTTCATTGAGTCTATTTTACTTCCCACTCTCGTTTACCATCTTGGTTCATATTCTTCTGAGCTACATTCCCCACAAAGCTGATATGAAGATTATTCTTTTTCTTGACCTGTAAACCAACTCGCCCGGGGAGGGGATAAACAAAGAATAGGTCTCTTTAACATTACTCATCTTTAAAAAATTAAGTTGAGTATCTGGTCTAGGATGGCTCTCTTCTTTCTAGCAGTAAACGGAACATATCATAAAACTAAGTCCTTTCTTAGTCTCTCTGCAAATAGTACAAGTCTTGAGACCTGGAAATTGCATCTTAGTTGGTAGAGAAGGTTTTCCATAAGTGTCTTAAATGGAAAATGGGTCATGTGAAAACAATTAAGGTTTTGGGTAATCTATCCCATTAACAACTGAAATGATCCATTTCCTTTATTTTCCTTTGAAACATTGCTCCTGAGATCCTAACCATTCCCACTTTGCCATTTTGCTATGGATTATCATATAATTGTGCTTGTTATTTGGATTTTGTGAGTCTAACTGATTCCATTCTTTCCAACAAGAGTTTAAAGATATCTACTCCAATATCTACACTCCTCCCTCAGCTGTTAGATTTAAAGTTTAGAGTGTTGCTTAGAAAATTCCTTTGCTTCTCTTAAGCTTTTGTTTCACTTGGAAATTTTTCAACAGACTTCCTACTAAAGCTGGGTTAGGTAAGAGAACTTCTATTAATTTCTTGTGGGCTGATGGCTCATGGCCCATGCATCATATATATAACTCATTAGAGTAGAAATTGTTTGTGCTGAAAACTGAAATTCTCAGTGTAATCCCACAGGTGGGGTATGGGAGGATTGAGTGTACGCAGACTTACCCCTACCTTGTGGAGGTAGAGAGTTGTTTCCACGAGACCTTGGCTTAAGGAATAAGGAGTGCCTTTTCTAGGAATATGAGATAGAAACTGTACACAATCTTTTCTTGAATTTGCCTTCACTTAGATTCACCTTCTTTCCACCTATTCTTTGGAGTTATCCTATTTAGTATTCTAAAGCCTCTTCTCTTAAGCAGTGTATAGACCATGGTCCTTACTCATTACTCAATTACTGTTTCTATTCTTCCATCAAGAACTTGGAAGCATGGAATGTAGTTCTTCTGTTCCAGCGATTCGCAGTTTTTAACAGTAGGTAATAGTTAAGAAGCCTTTCAAGAGATGATGGTCAAGAATGTGATTGAAGCCAGGAAACTACTACAGCCTATATGCTCACACTCTTCAACAATGCCAGAGTGTGTGTTGGATCCTCCAAAAGTACTGCATTTTTGGAAGATCTAACACGGCAACATTTTGGAGAGTCCGAGCAACATTGACTATAGCTTCTACATGGCAGCATCCTTTTAGCCTCACAAGAAGTGGTTATTGAGAAAGTATTCTCAGTTCTTATCATCAGAAACTTGAGTCCCTTGTGATCTCAATTCCTACAATATTGCAAAAGTTTTTTCTCTGTATTGCTAAATTTATTGACTTTAAGTATTTGCTTTATTTCTAATCTTCTATCTTTGTTGATCAGGTTATAGGAGGGAGGCGGCATTCCAATCAGATTAGTCCATCATTCTCAGCTGTCATATCTCAATCAAGAACAACAACAATCTAAAAACGAGCTAAGCCCGCCAAGAAGGTTTCCCAAAGCAGATATATATAGCGAAGTTCGGTTTTGTTTTTGCAGAGTTCAATCTTGTTGATGGAGTAGAAGCAGTTTCTTTTGTATGGACCCAATACTTTACATTAGACTGTATTTTATTTGGACAAAATGTTGTATGAAATGTCAAAAGGCAGTATAATTCAGGAGGAGGAAGTTTTGGTTCCTGCCTTTTTAATCTTATATACGCAATACACACTGGTCAACTAAAATATCGTTTAGATATTTGTAATTTAAAGTTTAGCCATGGTTGCTTGGTAGTTGGTACCAAATGAAGGATTCCCATCTTCTCTGGAAAAACTATAAGCTCTTCTTTATGGCGATAATACCAATACATTAAATTGGCGTGCGGTGGTGTTTATTTTATTTTTGATACTTCCGGTGATTCGTGAATTCTCATTTGTTTTTTCAACTTATTTGTTGTTTTTATTATTGATAAGAATTTTCTGGTTAAAAAACCCTATGAATGGATAAACCCTCAAATTCATACTAAAACCATGCTTTCACAAGTCGTCCCCTCAGAACTAAGACGAGAAAGCAACAACTAATCAGGCTAACAACAAAGAGGAATTTTATCAAGTGGAAGAGCAAATGGAAACAAATTGAAAATATTACCCGTTTTAAGCAGTTCTCAATATAATTATACAGGGTTTCTAAACAACCGAGCAGTTTCTGGGATTGTGTTTCGACGAATCACCCCTTGTAGTAGCTTATTAATCAAGTACAGTACTAATTTAAGCTCAAAAAAGAAGAAGAGCAGTTAGCTTTCTCTTCAGCATTCGAATCTAGCAAACAACAAAAACTGAAAAATACACAAAAAAGAAGTTGCATCAAAGCAAAGTGTGCTTAGTAGGTGTAGCCCTTGACAAACATTCCCTTCTTAGCTTCCTCACTTTCACCTTCTGCGGAGTATTTTCCGAGCTGAGCCAAGGAGTTTGCTTTTGCACGAATCAAGAGTGCCCTCTGTGCAGCATCCACATTCTCAGGACGTCCTTGCCATGTCTTGAGCACTGTGTTCTGGAGTGCTCTTGCATACGAGAAAGATACATGCCATGGGTTGGGGCTCTGGTTCATTGCGTGGAGGTTGAGTGTCGCTTCCACTTCAGATTGTCCTCCGGACAGAAACTGACAAGTAGAAAAACATACGATTTTTAGCACAGTTGAACAAGAAATAGAGCAATAAGTAGCAACTTAACAAAAGTTTTTCAAAGAAAGTAGAGTCCAAGCGTGTAGTTTCTCTAATCTTTCTATGGTTAATTTTGATTAAATAAGAAACAAATGAGCGAATCGAAGAAAAGTAAGTCCTACCATGATTCCGGGAACCGCGGGAGGAACTCTTCTCTTCAACATGGTAAGTGTGTATTTAGCAATGGTATCTGGGGTAGCCTTTTCTTTGTGTTCAGCACCAGGAGTAACCATGCTAGGTTTGAGCAAAATACCTTCGAAAACAACATTGTTTTCTGCTAGGTAGTAGAAGACTTCTGCCCAAACACGTTCGGCAACTTCGAGGGTTCGTTCTATTGGGTGGTCTCCATCCAAAAGAATCTCAGGTTCTACTATTGGCACTAAACCATTGTCCTGTAGGGAAAACAAATGATCTTTAACAATCCATAAATAGAAAGACAAACTTATCGTTCCCCAGATCATGCAGATTCCTAAAGATTATCCTCCAATTCTGAAGATCAGAGGATATCCAAAAACAAATGCAACCAACTAAGGAGGTGGGCCTGTTGACTTAGTTATCTCACATTTTCTTGTACAACTTTGGAAAGATAGAAGAAGTCCTAAAAGTTACCTGAGAGATAGCAGCATATCGAGCAAGACCCCAAGCTGCTTCTTTTACAGCCAAAGCAGAAGGACCGCAAGGAATGCTAACAACTGTTCTCCTGAAAATTTCGAAGCCGCATATCATTTATGTTCCATAATTCTTCAGAAAAGTTTAATGCACTTTGATCTTCCAAGGAAAGAATAAGAGAAAACATGAGAGAGGAATAGCAGTAGAAAAGTGCAAGGCCACAACGTACCACTTGGCAAAACGTGCCCCTTGCTTGTAGTATTCAGCAGACCTAGAAGCCAATCCATCCAATCCTTGGCACCAAGATTCATTGTTGGATCCTGGTAGGGGAACCAAACCCTGCAAGTAAAAAAACAAGGGTTAAAATTGGACGAAGTTCACCAACAAAAATATTTGCAACAAAAGTTTAAGAAAGGTAGCAGCAAAATCTAAAGCGCAGAAGAAGTTACACAAAACATAGAAACAAGTTAAAAAGGACACCTTGTCAACTTTGATCCCAGGTACAATATTCTGATCACGCAAGACGTCAACAAACTTCTTCCCATCGGTAGTGGACTGGAAAAGTGTCTCTTCGAATAGAATGGATCCAGAGATGTAATCACCTAGGCCAGGAGTGGTCAACAAGAGTTGACGGTAAGCTTGTCTGTTTGCTTCTGTGTTGTCCAGACCAATTGACGCTAGTCTCTTTCCGGCAGTTGCATTCGATTCATCAATGGCGAGGATGCCCCTTCCAGGAGATGCAATAGTTTTCTACATCAAGTAAGCAACAGACAAAGGTTCAGCATTATTATATTTTGCAGAACATCTTTTACCCCGCATTCTCCAAGTTTACAAGAATGTTAGGCAAAGGTGAGTTTTAATAAGCGGGTGGATATATCTAGCACTTCGTAGCATGTTGAAGCAAACACACGGATTGCGGCTCAGACCATGTTTATATATGCAGAAAAAAACTTTTTATGTGCATACATGTAAAACAATAAACAATATAGTTGTTGCTTCGTACAAGAAAACCAATTTATAGATACAGGCATACAGCTGAACATATCAACATCAACATATAAAAACAAAGTTTACCAACTAAACCTTTTCCCAATCCACCGAATCCAAGTTATTAAATCCGATCAGAAAACATGCAAACAAATGAAGTGTGTGTGCCTGGGAGAGATAGCACTTTCATGTAGCTCTGGAAAACAAATTTTCAAATGATCAACCTAAAATTAAGATTCTGAAGTCCTTTTTAAATTAGGGGTAAGGTTTGTGTACACACTACCATCCCCATGCCCCACTTGCGGGACTACACTGGTATGTTGACATGTTGTAGTTGTTGTTGTAAAATTAGAATGAACCATGTAGCTGTTTTAGCTGTTTATAACTACAACCAAATTTATCAGCATCACTATAAACAATACAAACACAACAATTCTGACCAAAAACCAAACCTCTTAAACTTCCATTAACTCACTGAACTAAACAGCAGCACACTTTCAAAATTCAGTATAAAATTCAACTTAAAATGCATGATCTAAACTAAAAAGAAGCTTCTAGATCCAACTGATACTACAGCCAAACATATCAACATCAGTATACAAATTTAAATAAACAAAAAGTTGACCAAACTAAACCTTTTCAATTTCAACCAATCCAACCAACCAAGGCAGCACAGTTGCAAAAATTCAGTATTCTACGGAATTCAATACAAAAAATCAACAGAAAATACATGATCTAAACCAAAAATATAAAACAAATCAAGTTGCACCGGAAAAAAAAAACTTTTAGATCCGATCATAAAGCATGCAAACACATAAAAGTGAGAAACACAAACATATATAGATATATAGAGAGAGTTACAGCGGTTTTGATGAGCTCATCGGTGTAAGATCCAGTAGCACGGACGACTGAAACACGGCGATTCGAAACAGGCAACCGGCAGGAAGATCCAGACCGTTGATTGAACGATTGTTGACCGATCCACGAAGATGACGATGCGTTGAGCTTCACCAAACTAGAACTCGCCATTTTTTCTTCTGAAAATCGCCTCTTTCTTCTCTCTCCGCGAAAAGAAATATAGCTTTTTTGCGTATAAAGCGTCGCTGTTAAACAATATATAGAAAATAAGTTTGGTGGGTTGGTAGCGACGGCTAACAGAGTGTGTGCTTTTTTTGTTAATAATTGGTGTCCTCGAAGAGTCCGCTAGTAAACAGTATGGACAATTCAAGCTACGGAGATACCAAATGAATACAAGGAAACTCGAGATTTTGAATTCGAGCCTAATAGCTATTAGGTGATATATATTTTCACAATTCAATTAAATTGAAAATAAATTAATCAGATCAAATTTTTTCCATAATAAAATGAATGTGAAGTCCATTTCGAATGTTTCTATGATTTGGAAGTTCTTGGTGTCGATGAAAAATGTTACTTAACCTAAATATATTTTGTGAATGGATGAATATTGATCGTTTGATTTCAAAGTACCGATTTGATTTATTGGTAGGTTTGTAAACATGTTAAACTGTTATAGAATTATTAAGATATTGACTTATTGATTATTGATTTATCGGTTATTGATCATTATCAGTTTAACCGCCAAGATTTGACATTTTTTTAATATATTAAATCTTAGAAACAAGGTGACAAACCAAATGAATCATACATTGCATCTTTGCTCAAAAGCAAACATTATCACATTATAAAATAATCAAGAGTTTGAGACAACGAAATAAAGTACTCCCTCGGTCTCTCCATTCCATATTAATTGAATTTTTTAGGCATTTTTCATTTTTCAAATTAATTTAATTGTTCAGTTTTCAAGACTACTTTTAGAGTGTTCTTCCAATTTTATCCTTCATTTGGATTTTCAATGTGATGGCTTCAATAAATTTGACAATAATTAGTAAGGGTAAAAATGGAAAACTATGTTCAATTTATGTCTTAATCTAATTTTCTTAAAGTGTGTGAAACACTTCAAAAATTCAATTAATATGGAATGGAGGGAGTATGAAACTAAACTCTAAGTCCAGACTCTATGTGTGAAAAATAGTACTCCCTCCATTTCAAAAAGAGTGGTGTAGTTTGACTTAACACGGAGTTTAAGAATATATTAAAGACTTTTGAATCTTGTGATCCTAAATTGAAGTCATGTCAAATATACAAAATTATCTTTTAATCTTGTGGCCTTAAACATGTCACGTGAAAAACTAAAATTAAAATGTTACCAAAAAAGGAAAGATGTCGTTATTTTTGAAACAAACTAAAAAGGAAAGTGAGTTATTCTTTTTAAAATAGAGGGAGTATAATAATATTTTTTAATTTACGATCGAGTTATTGGTTAACTTT